AGATTTAGAGTATACGGTATAAAAAAATTTTAAAAAAAATCATCTAAGTTGTATGTAATATATTAAAGTCAATAGATTGAAATAAAAACTACTATAAAATTGGTTCCCATAAATTTTACTTCTTAATTTATGATGAAAGAGATTTTTGAATTATAAATTAAATTATAAATTAGTTTATCTCATTTTGAAAAACGAATTAGTTAATTCTTTTGGTTTCGAAAATAAATTATTTAATTTTTAATTGGTGTTGATCACGAATAATTTATTTTTTATTTTAAAAAATGTATTTTTTCAAAATTTTATTATTTTTTATTCTTTCTCAATTTCTTAAGACAAAAAATAAAACCATAGAAATAGCAGAAAGGACAAAAAAATATATTTTTTTGAACCAAATGGACTAATGGTGCTATGTATGCAAATACGTAATTAATTTTCAATAAAACTAATGATACACACACACACACACATATTAAAGTTAATAAATTGAAATAAAAAAATACTACAAAATTGGTTCCCATAAATTTTACTTAATTGATGATGAAAGAGATTCATGAATTGCAAATTAAATTATAAATTAGTTCTTCTCATTTTGAAAAAAAAAAAAGAATTATTCTTTTAGTTTCAAAATAAATTATTTAATTTTTTAATTAGTGGTGACCATGAATAATTTATTTTTTACTTTAAAAAAAGTCTTTTGTCATATTTTAATTGATTTTTTATTCTTTCTTTATTTCTTAAAATAAAAAATAAAAAATTGAAATAGAAAAAAGGACAAAAAATTTTTTTTTAAATCGAATGGACTAATAGTGCTATGTATTTAATTAATTTTCAACAGAATTAATTATGTGTGTGTGTGTGTCATTAGTTTTGTTGAAAATTAATTATGTATCTACATATATAACATCATTAGTCCATTCGGTTCAAAAATTAATTTTTTTGGTCCTTTTTGCTATATTAACATATGTGTGTGTGTGTGTGTGTGTGTGTGTGTGTATTATAGCAAAAAAGACAAAAAAAAAAAAAAGTTTTTGAACCGAATGCACTAATGGTGCTATGTATGCAAATACATACTTAATTTTCAACAAAACTAATGATATAAAATTAAAATAAAAACTATTACAAAATTGGTTTCCATAAATTTTACTTAATTTATGATTAAAGATATTCTTGAATTGCAAATTAAATTATAAACTACTGCTTCTCATTTTGAAAAAAAAATGAATTAACTCTTTTGGTTTCAAATAAATTATTTAATTTCATTAATTAGTGCTAACCATGAATAATTTTTTTATTTAAAAAAAGTCTTTTTTTCATATTTTTACTGATTGTTTTATTCTTTCTTTATTTCTTAAAATAAAAAATAAAAATTGCAAAAAGGACAAAAAAAAATTATTTTTGAATTGAATGGACTAATGGTGTTATGTATGCGGACGCATAATTAATTTTCAACAAAATTAATGATGTATGCGGACACATAATTAATTTTCAACAAAACTAATGATATATATATATATTAAACAAACATTTGAAAAAAAATATTGATTTCAAAACATCAAAAAGAATAAATAATAAATAATTAGTGTTATGTATGTAGATACATAATTAATTTTCAACAAAACTAATGATACATAAATACATACATACATATATATATATATACATACACACACACGTAATAGATTCAGAATATATAATATAAAAAATTTATTTAAAAAAAATATCTAAGTTTTATAGAATATATTAAAGTCAATAAATTGAAATAAAAACTACTACAAAAATTGGTTCCCATAAATTTTACTTTTTAATTTATGATGAAAGAGATTCTTGAACTGTAAATTAAATTATAAATTAATTTATATCATTTTGAAAAAAGAATGAATTAATTCTTTTGGTTTCAAAAATAAATTTTTTAATTTTTTAAATCGAGTGTTGACCACAAATGTATGTATGTATGTATGTATGTAACATACATACATACATACATACATACATACATACATACATACATACATACATACATACATACATACATATATATATATATATATATATATATATATATATATATATATATATATATATATATATATATATATATATATAACATTTTAAAAAGAAACCATCTAAGTTATATGGAATATATTAAATTCAATAAATTAAAATTAAAAAATACTACGGGATTGGTTTTCATAAATTTTACTTCTTAATCTACGATGAAAGAGATTCTTAAATTGTAAATTAAATTATAAGTTAATTAATTCTTTTGGTTTCAAAAATAAATTATTTAATTCTTTTTAATTAGTTTTGATTATGAATAATTTATTTTTTATTTTATACAATGTCTTTTTTTTAAATATATTTTACTTATTTTTTTATTTTTTCTCTATTTCTTAAAACAAAAAATAAAAACATTGAAACACTGAAAAGGATAAAAAAAAATTAGTTTTTGAACTAAATGGACTAATTAATTTGTTTCTCAAAGAAAGAGGGACTAATTTATAATTACTCTTGAATAGCAAATGACTTTGGCTTTCCTGCCAAAAAAAAAAAAAAAAAAACATTGGAAGAAGACAGAAGCATTAAATGCTCAATCTTAAAAAAAAAAAAAAAGAAGGAATTGACGAAAAAAGACTAAAAAGAAAATTAAAAAGAGAATCAATCGAAAGTAAAAATGAAGTTTCTCAAATCCATCGAGTGGCAAAAGACAAATTAACGAAAAGGTAGGGGGTGAAAAATCAAGCAACACAATGAATAATAAATCTAAGTCTAAAACAATAGTAAATGAATAGTAAATATTTCGAGTTCTTTTTTTTTTCTACTAATATATATTAAATTTAAAATAAAAGATAAAAATTTTATTTAATTTCATAATTTTTAATCAAATTTTGTATTTCATCATGCTTTTTTTAAATGTTTTTTTTTTTTTATAGATTTTTGTTTTTAAAAAGACACAATTCATTTTATTTATTTATTCATTCTTAAATAAAAACCTACAATAATATAAATATAATATTTAATATAAAATTTTTAAAAATATCTTAATATTTTTTTTATAAAATTACATCACGAAATATATCATAATCCATATAAAAATTTATATAAAAAAATAACTAATGAATCTTTTAAAACTTTTTCAAAATATTTACATTTGATATATAGACACACTCACACACACATACAAAACACTCGGTAATATTAGGTATAAAAACAAATATTTGAATTAGTAGGTGGTGCTTTTAAAATATTATTTTATTTAAAATAAATTAAATTTAGAATATTACAAATAATTAATAGGAAGTAGGATGTGTTATATGAGTAGATGCATAATTAATTTTTAATAAAATCAATGATCTCAATACTTTTTTTGGTGTACATCATTAACATACTCTGTACAAATTAAAAAACCTATTTAAAAAACTTAAGTTGTAAGAAATATATTAAAGTTAATAGAGTGTAATAAAAATAATTTAAAATTTTATTCCAAAAAAATTGATCTGTATCAAGAATAAGGTAAATTCTATTGTTTATTAAAAAACATATTAAAAATCCATACACAAAGAAAGAAAAATCATATTTATTAACAAATAAAATTTCATAAAAAATAAAAAAATTTATTTGATGAGAATTTTTATAATAAATGATAAATTTAAGAGATTAATTTTAATCAATAAAAAAATATAATCGATATATGTGTTTGTTCTAAAATCTAAAAACATAAGAGATCAAAAATATCTTTTAAAAATATGAAAGACAAAAAATATATTTCAAAAAAAAGTGAGACAAAAATGGAATAAGTTAAAAACATGAAATGTCAAAATATTTTAAAAATACATTTTGAAAACACAAGGGACCAAAAATGAATGACGTGTAAAATTTGAAAATGAATGATCAAAAAATCTATAAAAATACAATTGTAAAAAATTACAATATTATCACTATTTGAACAATAATAATGAATAGTAAACCAAGACAAATGGACTGTTCATTTGTCTCAATTCTTTTAGTTTTTTACTTAATGTTGTCATTGTTAAATTAATATAAAATCACTTAATATAGTATTTTTCTTTAAATTGAGATTGTTGCGATATGGAAATCGACAATTATCAAAAAAATTATTAGATTAATTTAATTTATATATTTATATTTGTTATAAAAGAAATGGAAATAAGAGGAGAATTGAAGAGAAATATAATAAGAAAATGAATTCAACATAAAATGAACTGAATATAAGAGATAATAACTCTAAATAACAACTTTAAATAATTTCTTAATCTCTACAAAATACTTATACATTAACTAATGAACAATCAAGTCTATTTATAGGTTTCAAGATTCGGAGAGAATTGAAAGAGACTATAAAATATTTCTCATTATAAAAGATACATAAATAATTAAATAAATTGCATTATATTTTTAATTTCTCATATTAAGTGGTGAATTGAATCATATTAAAAATAATAGATAGTGGAAATGTGAAATATTCATAAATATTCATATTTTATAATAATATTTACTATTTCATTGAATCGTAATGATTTAACAAATATATACTATTTTGCTTATGCAAATATTAGAAACTTAATCCTGGATTGATGCTCTTTTAAGAAAAAATTACATTATTGTGTAAATAATAATAATAATAAAGGCTTACTACTATATTTTTATAATTATGCAAATATTTATTTCTACTTTACTACCCTTTGGTTGCGATTGATTGAAATTCGAAAATTGAAGACAAAAAAAGATTTCACTGTTAGTAAAAAGTTAGTATCTCGATACAGCGGTACCGTCTGGAGCAAACATGGAAATGGGTTCCGAAAAGCGTAACAAATTCTACATTCTCGTGATTCAAATTCAAAACCAGGGGTAATAAAGTAATATAACAGTTATCTGTCTGTTGCTAAACCTAACACACTTGGTTTTCCCCCACAGAGCAGACAGAAGTAAAAGAGAAGGGGGGAGCAACATCAACCTCTCTCGCTTCAAAATATTCCATAGTCATGGCAGAATCAGAGGTGAAATTACTGAACCACCCTCATCTTCATCCTCAGTACTGGCACATACTTTTTAATTTGTTTTTCATGTTTTTGCGTAGATTTTGTTTTGATCGTTTTGATTTTTCTTGAATATATATATATATATTTTTAATGTCTGTCTGTGTAGAAATTGGTGGCGTTGAAGAAAGCGTATGCAGATATAATATTGAATACGGCAAAAGAGGCGGCGAACAGAGTAATGGAGTCAGAGAGAAAACGCTTCGCTATCACAACGATCTCTGCAATTCAAAAGATGAGGCGCTTCGCTTGCTTCTTCGCTTAAAACAAATGATAGATGCCAAAGTGAGCTTATTTTCAGTTTTATATCATCTTTTATTTAATCGATTATAATTTTATTTTATTTCGAGAATTGGCCAGGCTTAATTAAATCTTCTTCTTTAATATACATTAGATTACATTTAGTTGATCCAATGGAAAAAAAATTCGCATCTTAAAATGTTGTTTGTTAATTTATTTATTTTTCATGTGAGCAATTTTAAAAATAAGAACTCAAAAGGAACAAGGAAACCCTATGTCATCCAGGAAGTAAAGAGCGTCGTGGATGTGGCTCTTTGTTTCAAATCTTTACCAAAGAATGTAGAATTGAAGTGGTAGAGAACAGAACTAGGGTTCCTGTCACATACTTGATATGTACATGAACCTTTATTTTTGGTTGAGCAAGGGCACAAGCTTCGATTTTATGGTACTCGGGTTGTAATTTTTGCATTTCCATTTCTTGATGAACATTGATGCTCACTTGATTTTCCTTTTTGTTCGCCAGATATTTCTGTTTTGTTCTTTTCATCCAAGCAAGAATGTTCAAGTATGGCTGTACTTTGATTGATGGATGCATGTGCGTAGATGTGTGACCTGCTGGAGTTGTATTGAGTAGTTCTACTACATTGCTCAAAAGAAGCAAAGACTGATGTTATCAGCAACTAGTTCGTTTTTATTTTTTATTTTTTATTTTTTTGGGAGGTGGGTGGGGAGTGAGGGCCTTCATCCTGCAAAGTTCTATGGTCATTTTTTTTCTGGCTCTCCAGCATATGCTTTGTATTCAATTTTAATGTTTCAAGTAAAATTACCAACCTAACACGGTTGAGATTTTCATTACTTTTAAGCTAGGCAGCTAGTACTGAGAGCACCCTTACTGGTTATAACATTTCCTTTCATGTTGCAAGCACTAATGCAGTGCTGACCCATTTTTCTTTCTTTGCAGACAATTGAAGCAGAGATAACATCTTCAAGCCAGCAGAGTAAGATCGATGAGCTTGAGGCGCAGCTCCATGAGGCAGAGGGTGTCATAATAGATCTTAGAGCAGAGTTGAGATGGGTATGTGATGAGCTAGAGAAGGTGAGGAACAGCCAATGCCAACCTTCAATTAGAAAAGTTGTAAAGGAAAATGAATCTTCTCACCAAAATTTAACATCCGAGCCCATCATACTTTCTCCTCCTAATTTGTCACCTGAAACTAAGGCAACTTCTGATATAAAGAGTGCGCTACTGGACCAGAGAAATTTCACTAACAAGTGCTGCAACATAGCGGAAGATATTGAGCATTTGAGTGTTTCACCTTTTGAGAACTATTCTTCACATAATGCTGACTTAGCCTCCATTATGATGACAAAGAAGGAGCCGGAGCTGTATAGAAATGGTTGTACGCAGAGAATTCGTGCATCAGAAGGAAACTTTTTTGCTTGCAAATTGCCTCCTTCAGAAGTAGTAGTTGAGCAGCAATTACTCTTAAAGAATGAGGTTATTACCAAAGCAAGTAATGGGGATGAAGGTAAATGTACTGCATCTTCTCCTAAGATGAAGAATGTGGAAAAAATGAAGAACTGTTTAAGGGAAGAAGGAAAAAAGTGTGTTAAGGTTTGCCCATCTAGACGAAGAAAGAGTAGGTTTGCAAAAGCCAAAGTTAAGCACAAGTCTTGTCCCAATGTCGAGAAACCTTATCAACCACCTGCTATTGTTTCTCGTTGCAAAACATACTCAATAAATGGAGCTGTAAAATCTGATGAATGTTCGTGTACCTTGCCTCCTGTCAAGCCTAGCAATATGGGTATGAAGAATCCCAGTGACCTGGAAGAAAAATTGCAAGAAACAAATGACTTCCTTACTGCAGAAATGATTGTTCCTGAAGGTAAAAGACCAAGAATAGAGCAAAGTACAAGTTCTGTCTCTACCTCATCCACATTGCCTTTGGTTCAGCACTCAGAATTTTGCCAGCCATCTTCTGTTCTCACTCATTGCAAAACTTACTCATTTTTGCTCCATGGTAATGTTAAATCCAATGAAGACCAGTCAAAGATAGCTGAAAATGATGTCAAGCTGAAGTCACTGCCTCGCTTAGATCCAGGGTTAACCCTAATTAAAGGTGGTTTGGATTCTACTTCTGGCTCTACGAATGTTAAAGTGAGTGTAAAGGCACTCTGTAGATCTGGTGTGGCACAAACTGATGCGAACAGGGGCGTGCAGTGTGTAGATGATTTGGTAAAAGAAGAATGTGATTCTAATCGGAATCCCACAGTTCCAAGTTATGAATCAATCGCTCATATGGGCAATGTACCTCTTGTATATTCTAATTTGAAACATGCCAAAACATCTGAAGAAACTACTATCAGTGCACCACTGGTGCACTCTGAGATAAAAGTTGCTAAAGCATCCATTGAACCCAATGTGTTTCCTAGTCAATCAGACAATAAGCTTCTTAAATACACCTTTCAGAGGAAGCACAAGAAGGAAGCTGTGAGCAGCCTTGATAATAAAACTTCTGTTGGAAAGAGCAATTTAAAAAGAAAAGCAGATGAAAAACAAGAAGGTTCACTAGAGGCACAGAAATCGAGCTTCATAAATGAGTCGTCTAGGGACAGTTGTCAATTAGCTCAAGCTGCTCGTCAGGTTGGTTTTTCTTAACCGTTCCCTGTACCTTCATAAACATGCCTTGATTTCGTTTGTTCCTAACTAGGATTACATGCTGCCTTTGTCTTGTTTGAATTCCGTGATTCCAGATTAACAATTTCATATTTCAGTCAATGAGAATTGAAAGCATGCAAGTGTTTTATAGTGAATGAATTTAAGTTCTGTGCCAGGGAAATGGAAATGTAACAGATGTAATTTCTGCTTGTGTTTATGGATGAGGATACTGCATACATAAGTTTTGCCCGAACGATATGGCTTGAAAATTGTTAGAGGAGTTAACAATTTGAAGTCTGTCATAGTTTTTGTTACTTCATTCATTTGTATTTCCTTAGCTGATATCCATCAAGATGGGAGCACCCTTCTTTATTGAGTTTTATGTTTTTGTTCTTCTCCAGAATAGGATGTCTTATTCATGTTGGTTTTTTGCGTGCTTTCTTTTCTTGTTATTGAAGCTCGCATTTTATGTATCTAAGAAAGATATTTTGGTGAGTAATTAAGACAGAACGGAAAGGAAGGAAAAAAGAGAAAAAAAAAAGAGGAAGTTCGTTCTTGAGGAGTTTCACGCTTTCACTTGATTGAGATTCTTATGCTCTGATCATAATTGAAATTGACTAACACGGCATATTGTTCTGAAGTGGTGGAATAACAATAAGCTTTCTAAAGAGAACCCGCACTATTGATAATAGTTGTGTGGCCGGATGGTGTGGTCTGTTTTACAAATACAAATGCCAATATTTTTACATTTCTTTCAGGGTTCCAAGTAATTTTCTGTGTTCCTGTCGAGTCAATATTAGAATCAGCATATTTCTCTGTCTGGGAAAAGATGGTGGTGATGAAGCAACTGTTCGTTGAGTTCAACCCGAAGAAGGATGTGATTCACAATTCAAATATCGCATGCCCTTTGGGGGTTATTGAGATGATAATTTTTCAAGAAACCATATGAAAGGTCAGGCCACCTGCACATACATGAGATGTAGATATTGCCAATCAGCAAAGCTGTTTTAAACCTAACAGTCTTTGTGAGCACTGTATGTATCTTCAGTTATATTTGTCTCTATTATATAGGCTGTAGACATTCTTTGTTTTATAAATGGTTGCCTTGGCATCTTTCCAAGGGATCCTAAGACATGTTAAATAAGTTTAGACCAAATAGGTCCATAATCCATAAAGAAGAAATTGAAAGTGATGGTCGATCATAAAGCAAGAGAGGAGTTTTCCCAGCTCCGTCAATTTGTTATGCAGTCCAGCTTTGTAAATTCGTACAATATTTGGACTTCGTTTGTGTAGTAAAAAACAACTTTCATAGGAAAATTAGTTTTTGAAGAAATTATTTTTCAGAAAATTATTTTTTAAAAAAATATTTTCTATTGTTTGGTAATTATATGAAAAATTATTGTAAAATATATTCTAATATTTATTTGATATAGAAAATTAAAATATAAAAATAGTATTTGATTGTTATATTAATAAATTTTGATAAATTTTTAAAAAGTGATTCACAATTTTACAATATAAGATATATTTAGAAAAATTTAATAAATTTTCATAAATTCTAACTTTAAAATTTTAATTCAAAAAATAAAATGTATTTTTTTAACTATCAAACAAATTTATTAAAATTACTTGGGATAAAATCAAGTTAATATTTACATTTAGTAAAAAAAATAAAAAAATTCTAAGTAATTCTAGCATTGTTATTTTGATAACTCAATTAAGAATTTTTTTTCTTTTGGAAATTGAATTGATAATTTAATTTAAAAAATAGTTTTATAAATTATTAGTTATCATTTGTAGATAATTATTCATTTGGTTTCAAAAAATTAATGTTGGAATAATTTGTAATCAATTATTTACTATAATTACTAGTAAAATTTTACAACCGATTAAAATTACAAATTATTGATTTAGTTGCAAATGAATAGTGTTGAAAAAATAATGTATTTATTAATGAATTAATGAATTTTAATTTTTTTTTTTACAAAAAATTATAGTCTTGTAATAATCATTTTCAATCATTTAAGTATAGTTTAGGTGGTGTTTGAGATAATAGAAAAAAAAATAGAGATAAATTATTGACATGTTTATTATAAAAATAGTTTTAATATTTAATATATCTATAAATCAAAAAAATCAAATATTAGTAGAAATAGAGAAAAAATAATTAAATAGTTAATAATAATTGATAAAGAATAATTAAAAATTAATTTAATATATTTTAAATAAAAAGAAGATAGAGAAAATAAATTATTAAAATATATCGAGCGAGAAGTAAGTAACGCGAGAACGAGACAATTCGTGAGAAAGAAAAAATATATTTTTTTTAACTAGAAAAATATTTTTTAAAAAATATTTTATCATTTTTCATTGATTTTTTTCTTAAATACAAAATAAATACTAAAAAATAAAAAAAAATAAGTTTTTAAAATTTGTTTTCTCTCAAGTAAACACAGCCATGAAGTGATAATATTTTTCCGAACTTTCTGAAAACACGGCAGTTAAGATCCAGCCATTTTCCTCGCAACAAAAACACACTCGTCCTCCCTCCGGTTTCTCCAATTGGGGTGGATTCCGTTTGATTTATTTGACAACTTTTATTGCCAGTTTCGTTCCTTTTGCGTAGTTACATCTGTCTATCCAAGTATATAACGGGACCAAAATTTATCAGATCCCAGTGGATTGCTAGCCATGTGGCATATATTCTAAGACAGAAATTCTTCACTTCCTCAGATTGTTTAAAAATTTATTTTAACTAGTGTTGTACTGTGTTTCACGTGCGAGTGTGTTTACAACTTGTTTTCTAATTCACTTGCTTTTTTTTTCCGTCCAACAAAATCCAAATATCATTGTTCCTTCTTCAAATATCTCTTCGGATCTGCAATGATTTAAATTAAAAAATAATTCGAAATTCAATATTTGAGGGGAAAAAAGTTTTCTTATTGGTCCACAATACTAATTTATAAATTCACATATTTTTTTCCACTTCAAATCCATCACTCTGAAAGATTGGATCAAAAATCAAAGTTGAACTTTCTCCTTGTTAGTTGAGGTAGCAGTAGGCATGCCATGTGAATATGTAAAACTCGATAGTATTAAAGTATTTCAGTTGACATAAGGGAAAGGAGCGCTATTCAGTGATGCCAAATTAGACACTTGTGAGATCTTGCTCTCTTTATACGCACATTTTCCCATGTTTTCTAAATTTTCTTGTTTCTTGAGATTCTCCGAAGAAAGTGCTCTCCCATCCTCAATGGATGACAAATTACTGATCAACCTTAGGGATGCAGTAGGCAAGGTACAAAATAGTTATCCTACTCAGCTACTTTATTAATTACTTTTTAAAAATATTTTAATAGATAATGTGTTAAATATGAGTATAATAGTATTATTTATTTATGTTAATGAATAATTTATTCATCAATATAGATATTCTCTTTTTACTTTATTAATACTCATTTTTTACTTATTAATATTAAAAGTACTAAAACACAAAATTTTAAAATTAACAAAAAAAATAAAAAAAAGTATGTAATTAATCATTCGGATGTTTTCGTTGATATTATTATTATTATTATTATTTATATATTAAAAATAAATAATATTTTTAAGACACTTATGCAATTAACTACGGTTTCGTTGATATTATTATTATTATTATTATTATTTATCATTCGAGTTTAACATTTATTCAAACAATCACACATACAATTTGACTAGTGAATCTCTCTATTTTATTATTATTATAATTATAATTTGTGAATTATTCTTCGCAAATCTCATTATTAATATTACTCTTAACATGGATTAATAGCCTTTTTTTTTTTTTTCTTATTGGTCAAGTCAATCTAAACATTATTGGGGATAATATTTATTCATAACTCAATTATCAGATTTTAGACATTATCATCACGGTAATATTACTCGTCGTACTTGAGATTTTTTTATATTATCTACATCCGACGGTCAATATTTTCGATTACTTAATTAATTGTACGTAAATAATAATAATAATCATAATAATAATAAATAAAGTGATGTTATTACTTGATTTATTTCCTTCCAAATGATCCATGGCCATGAAACATATAAAAAAAAGTCAAAGAGCTTTGTTTGTTATTTTGCTTTATTTTTCAATTCAAGTGTGCTCTGGTACTTTTTTCTCCTACATACAAAAGCTTTTGGATTTATTTTGGTTGAGCAGAACGTCTTGGAGCAAATTTCAAGTTTAATTGTTGTGGTGCCCTTTTGGATTTATAAGAAAAATAAGAGTCAATGGCTGGAAAAAACCATTGCGAGTTTATTTATTTATTTATTTTTATCTTTCCCAAATAAGAAAAAAAAACTTTGTATAAAAAATAAAAAATAAATTAAATAATGGTTTGTAAGCTAGTCCAACTTGTAAATCTTAATTTACTTTAATAACCACTTCATATTAATTAACTTCATTATTTCAGTTAAAAAAAATTCAGTAAAAAAAAATTGAAAAAAAAATCCTCAATTTAAAGAAAAAAGTTAGCGGGTAAATGAGTATAAACAGGATATGGGCATAGTATGATATAATGGATATGAATAAGGTAAAGAAATAAGTAAATGATTTTTAATGAATAATAGATATGATAATGCATATAGTATTTTTTTTAATAAGTAGGATAAGAAATTGGCTTAATAGGTGGATACCCAGCTCATTGCCATTCCTAATCTACCTGTTCACAATAAATCCAATTCTCCAATCACATGTGCTTCAATAATGTTTAGTTTATTTTAGCTTTGGTGAATAGAAAAATGAACAGTGGTTGGGCAAAATCGAAATGCAAAAATTGAAACCATTATCAATCGGGAACGTCAATGCTTGGCATGAAAATTCAAGCATGTGTGTCTTATGTCCATTGAAGTCTAGTAATACATAAACAAACATTGAGATATGTATATATATTCATAAATGTGGGTGATTTGATGATTATCAGTATTGGCTCTTGCTTTTGCTATATGAGGTGATTTGTTCTTGCCATTACAGGGAGATGCTCTGAACATTTTATTTAATTTTAGAAGTCTATAGACAATATATATGAACAAAAAAAGGTAGTTATAAAGGGCATTCGTGAATATGAAAAAGGGACCAAATTGATATGATCATAGATTTCCTTGGTCATTCCCAACTTATGGGTGGGCCAAAAGCCGCAACCTAATTTTTTCTTCCCCACTCTCTGGAATTCACCATCAAATGCACCAAATGAAATTTCTAAATTAAATTATTTAAAAGTATTTATTTTTTTAGCATGTTAAAGTATCTATATATGCTTCTATGTCTCTTGTCTTCTAATTAATGTTTCAATTTATTAACACATTAAATATCTTTAAAAACTAATTTTCACATCCTTAATAATTATTAATTATATATGTATAAAAGAAGTTTCCTTCAATTTTTAACCTCGTACCAAATGCAATTTGAGACTTTTAATTTTCAAAGAATAAAGATGTAATGGGTATAGATAAAGACTTTTTGCTAACATTAACACCATTGACACATACCCCTTAGTCAATATGATTTGTTTAACGGATAATAATGCTATTGTTACTTTTAATAATGATCTATAAGTCACATTACCATAGTTGCAAATGAGTACTTTGACCACCTAGTACGAACAAAGTTCATGAGTTTTGCACCTGTGGACAAGCTATAAACAACTGACCATGTATGTGTATAGGTGGCATATGACGAACAATCACACCACTGACATTTTCTCCACCTCTAGGCGGTTTGTTAGGAGTAATGTCATCAAATGACAAATATCGCCTAACAAAGACGAATTGAAAGCTCTTGGGCTCATAGATTTGTATAAAACAATGAGAATAAAATGTTCTACAATTCAAAGCAGAGGACCTTTCTAGAGAAAAAAATAATCAAGTAGATTGATAATTCATAAGTTAGTAGCTAGTTCTTGATTCTCATACTGAATTTTCAACAATTATGATCTTCAATTTCTTAAAAATTGTTGTGTTTGGAGTGTCTAAATATAAATATTCACTGTTTTCCATCAATGTAAGTTTTTTTTTTTTTTTTTTTTTTTTTTCTTCTTCTTCAGATGGAGAGTTGTTTAAGGATATAATATTGTGATTCTAACTCATATCTCGTTAAGGATTTTAAATTTATAATTTCTGAATTATTGTAGTAACTTCTCAATTATTGTCAGCATTATAATATTTTTTTATATTTTAATTGTTTAATATTTCAACTCTTAATTCGAATTCTTTATTTTCATTGCATGCTAATTTAAAAGTTTGAACTTTTAGTTTAGAATAGTCATGATTATTAAAAAATTATTTTTTAAACTTGTAACTTAATCAATTTGAATTGACTGTAAGTTATTTTTAAGAATTTATAAACCGATTGCAATTTGTTTAATTTAACTTTTTATTAAGATAAAATATAAAAAAATTCATTAAAACAAATAATAATTTATTTAACATAATTTCTTTGGTTCATTATATAAGATGGGCAAGTATAAATTTAGGTCGAGATTCACAAGATCATTGCGATGTCAAAATCTCAGAATAGTAGGAAGCACTTTAGTTTTTTGAAATAGCACCTTAGGTCTTAGGCTATCCACTGGCAGGTATGTCCGTAGGGCCCCCTCACCCTCGGCCATGCAGCGAAGACTGCTTAGATCTGTGGCAGTTGCCGGTTTTGCTGTCGTGTCCGAAAATCCAATTAAGTTGGTGGTTAGTTAAGACGGGCTAAAAGCTTCATTAACCTCCACAACCTTTATTAAGCTCAAAGGTCTTTTCATTTGACCACACCAAACGACATTCACATCAACTTCTCGCCAAATAAAGAAATGATAATAAGAAAAGAATATATTCTTTCATATAATATACCCAACATATGAAGACAATTTCAAGCAAAATTATCACCAAAGTGACAGAAAAATTGGCAGACACGCACAACAAAATTCACTTTGAAAATGCTTGAACAGAAGAAACTGTAGAAATTTCCCAACAAACTTTCTTCTACTCTGCGTTGGTTTAATTGCAATTGGTTTTGAATCCTATTAATTATGAATATGTAACTACATAAAACCACGGTGGAGACTAATAAACCCATTTGACTGTCCTCCCTGAAGTAAGCAAATTGTTCAAAAAACCTACTTCAACGATATGATTTGAATCGTGTGCTAACTAGATAACAAAAAGACTAATTAATATCATTTGATTGAACATGTGGAGTATTGGACCAATCAACCGATATCTATCTAACTAGTCACAAGACAATGAGACTAAATGGTGGTGGGAGTTCACAAGATAACAAATGAAAAAGTAGTTTGGGAATGGGAAAGTGGGAGGTAAATCTTTCTTATTAATGCCAACTTTAAGTGCGTAGATCCAAGTCTGAAAATCCTTATGCGCCGTACACAGAAAGCAGGCTATTTTCAACCATAGGCATTCTAGTTTTACCTTAAAAAATATATATTACAATAAAAGGAGCATCATTTAGTGCAGTATCCAACTACGAGTAGAGAATAGAGACCATTCTTTGTGGACCTGACTATGAAGCATTATTATTATTATTTTTGTGTGAGGAAAAAAAAAAAATCCTTAATCAAGCCACTAAACTGTTCCTCTTCCTATACAAAGAAGCTGTAATCATCAATCTCGCACTCACAATTGAAAAGCTCTTTAAGCAGCACTCACCAAAAAAACAAGCACGCATCATACCACAAAAAAAAAAGAAAAAAGAAAAAAGAAAAAAGAAAAAATAATAAAATAAACGGGAAATTATCTGGTAGAAGTAGGATTAATTTCTTTCCCACAAAAAATTAATCACATCAAATCAAAGTCAATACCTCCCTTTCCTTCCTTTAGACCATTCTAAACTTGTAAACGAGAACATTATTCAAACATTACATTTTTTCTGCATATCATTGATCAGTATGTTTCCTCAATAACTCAAGAAATAAAGATTGTAGGAATTATTACTACATCTTCTTTTCACACCATGAAGGTTTGTACTACTACTACTACTACTATTATTATTATACTATCAGCGTTAGGTGCCATTGTTTCTGCTGAAGATGATGTGAGGTGCCTGCAAGGTGTTAAAAAATCACTTGATGACCCAGGAGGGAAGCTGACCACATGGAACTTTGCAAACTCATCTGTTGGATTCATCTGCAATTTTGTTGGGGTGTCATGTTGGAATGATCGAGAGAACAGGATAATCAACCTCGAATTACGTGACATGAAGCTGTCAGGACAAGTTCCTGAATCCTTACAGTATTGCCAAAGCCTGCAAAACTTGGATCTTTCATCTAATTCTCTCTCTGGTACGATTCCTGCTCAAATATGTACCTGGGTACCTTACTTAGTCACTCTTGATCTCTCAAATAATGATCTTTCTGGTCCTATACCACCTGATCTTGCAAATTGTACTTACTTGAATAAGTTGATTCTATCCAACAACCGTCTCTCTGGGTCTATTCCTTTTGAATTTTCTAGTTTGGATAGGCTGAAGCAGTTTTCTGTGGTAAATAATGATCTGACTGGGATAGTTCCTTCCTTCTTTAATAATTTTGATTCCGCGGATTTTGATGGGAACAAGGGACTTTGTGGGAAGCCTTTATCTAAGTGTGGTGGACTAAGCAAGAAGAATCTTGCTATTATAATTGCTGCTGGGGTTTTTGGTGCCGCCGCTTCTTTGTTGTTGGGATTTGGGTTGTGGTGGTGGTATCATTTGAGGTATTCGAGGAGGAGAAAGGAAGGGTATGGCATTGGAAGAGGTGACGATACTAGTTGGGCTCAGAGATTGAGATCTCACAAGCTTGTTCAAGTTTCTTTGTTTCAAAAGCCTCTTGTTAAGGTTAAATTGGCTGATTTAATGGCTGCTACAAACAATTTTAGTCCAGAGAATATCATTATTTCCACCAGGACAGGCACCACTTATAAGGCTGTTCTTCCTGATGGATCGGCTCTCGCAATCAAGCGTCTTAGCACTTGTAAGCTCGGTGAGAAGCAATTTCGGTTAGAGATGAATCGATTAGGCCTGATTAGGCATCCAAATTTGGCACCCCTTTTGGGGTTTTGTGTTGTGGAGGAGGAGAAGCTTTTGGTTTATAAGCGTATGTCTAATGGGACTTTATATTCTTTGCTCCATGGGGCTGGTAAGGTACTGGATTGGCCAACAAGATTCAGGATTGGTTTGGGTGCTGCTAGGGGTTTAGCGTGGCTTCATCATGGATGCCAGCCTGCATCCCTGCATCAGAACATCTGCTCCAACGCGATTCTAGTTGATGAAGATTTTGATGCTCGGATTATGGACTTCGGATTGGCAAGGATGATGACTTGCTCGGACTCTAGTGAGAGCAGTTATGTTAATGGGGATTTAGGAGAATTAGGTTATGTGGCACCAGAATACTCAAGCACCATGGTTGCTTCACACAAAGGAGACGTGTATGGATTTGGAGTGGTGCTTTTGGAGCTGGTGACAGGGCAAAAACCTCTCGACATCAGCACTGCCGAAGAAGGATTCCGAGGGAACTTGGTGGATTGGGTAAGCCACCTCTCAAGTTCAGGTAGAAGCAAAGATGCAGTTGACAAGGCTATCTGTGGTAAAGGACATGATGAGGAAATTTTCCAGTTACTGAAAATTGCTTGTAATTGTGTCATTGCTCGGCCCAAGGACAGATGGTCTATGTACAAGTCTTACCAATCCTTAAAGATCATTGCCTGTGAGCATGGTTTGTCAGAGCAAGATGATGAATTTCCATTGATTTTTGGCAAACAAGATTATGATTAAGTATAGATTTGGAGCAAATTAAGATGAGAGGAGCCTGACAAAATGGTAAAAAACTATTGTCATACTGAATTTACACGTTGTCTTCATTTGAGCATCCTTTGCCATTTGTTATCTGTAGTCGTATGATAAAACAAACAAATATATCAAAACTTTCTTCAACTCTAGATTTTGAATTTCAAAGTTTGTTTCTAAAAGGAACAACCTCAACACAGCATGTAATTTGCAATATGGTCTTTGTTTGTAGCCTTGAAATTTAATTTGATGTGAACGATAGTGAATGATGCTTGTATTGCGATTCAGCATAAACTTCGGGATGAAGTGGTCGCTTAACAATTTTTAGTCGTTTAAGTTGTCATTTTCATTCATTTCTTTACTCCTGGCTGACGACATTAGATGCCTAACTGGTAGCATTATGTATAAAGAACTGAACTTCTTTAAACATTTTCCACTCTCTGTGCCCGTAATATGTCTCTCTTCTGCACAATGTTAGTACTATTATTTTCTAGGCAACCCGCTCTGCATCATGGAGATACTTAATTACTACCTATTTGTGCTTGATATTACCTAAAATCGGTAACTTCAGAAACATAGAACTAGTTTTATTAAATTGATCAAGTGACTATGGTGATGCACAGCAGACTGTTTTTGTTAATACGATGCGTGCTGTTTGTAAAAAAAAAAAAATTGATGCAACAGATCAAATAAATGTTGCACACCGTCTTAAGAACATAACAAATTTAGTTATCTTGATATGTCATAATAAATTTATATTATTTGTAAGATTTGAAACTAAAAAATAAATAATATCACCCTAAACAGACTTGGAGACTAGAGAGCACAAAACAAAGAACTAATTTTCTTGCCTAAGCAATGTTTTTTTAATGCATTTTCATTTGACATGTGCATATAGTGTCTTTTGACCATTGATTGTAAGCACTAAAAGAAAAAAAAGAAGAAAAAAAATTCAATGACCAACGGAATTAAAAATTTTTCGTTTAAAAATTTTAATGTCCAACATTCTTTTGATCTTTATAAAGACTTTGTTTTGAAACATATGCCTTTTTCATTTTAAATAATAGATTTTTTTTTAAAAAAATTTTATAAAAAATTCTAACAATACTCTATTTATTTTTATAAATTATTAATCGTACAATTAGATAAGAAAACGAATATAATAAATAATAAGGATCTAATGACCCGATTCTTTACTTAGTGTTTCAACAATATTACTTTTATGCTAATAATAAATATTATATTGAACTAATATTTTTTTTAAAAAACAATTATTATATCACACATACTATATTTATTCTACAATGAGTTTCAAAACTAGCATATTATGCCTTTTTCTTTGTTGCTACTTGACGTCGAACATGACTTAAAAAAAAATCTAGTTTAAGATTTATTTTTATTTACAAAATTATTTACAAGTTTGGAGTTGCCACTTAGTATTGAAAAAATTAAGAACCTAAAATGAGCATTGGTTCGGAGATTTTAGGATAAGGAGTTGGTTACACTTTTGAGAGGATATTTAATCACCCCAAAACATCATTTCCTAAGAAAGGTACCCGTCTAATTTAGCTCTAAATTTATCTCCTAAAGTATTTTATTTTTGCCAAATTATTATTATTTTTTAATTTTGAAACGCCAATTTTCCAAGTGCTTTATTTCAAGCCAAATTAAATTTTTTATTTTTGAGCGTGATATCATATTGAAACGATCGTCGGACCTCTTCCGTCGGGAGACACGTCGGTTCAAACATCGAATCCACTTTTTGAGTTTCGACACAACCGGTGTGTTGGAGAACACTTGTTTAAAAAAATGAGTTTTTTTGGCTAACAACGAGTCCCTATCGGATATGATACTTTGTTAAAAGTTTTATGATTTTTTATTTTTTTATTTTTCTTTCATTTTTTAATTAATTAATTAATTTTTTAATTTGGTGGAGACTCGTCATCGGTCCCTAAAGAATTAGGAGACTTGATAGTCCTCCATTCATTACCTATTGAATTTAATTACTAAACAAATAAATTAAAGCTATATTAAGTAATCAAATTAAACAAAATTTAAACACTAAAGTTTAAATTAATAACACGCATGCATAAAATAAATTCGAGGTTAAATTAAAAAAATTAAAAAATATTAAAATAACAAATTCTAAATTAATATAAACTAACTAACATGCATAAATAAACTTAAAATTAAAATTACATTGACAACATAATTGAAGACAATTCAATACTTAAATTAATTACAAACATGCATAATAAAACACATTTATTTTTTAATTTTAATTTTCTTTTTTTATTTTCTTTTTATTTTATTTTTTTTAATTTCTTTAGAGAGGGGAGGTTGGATTGTCCAGCCCTTTTTGTTATTTCTTTGTGGGACGAGGCGGGTTGGACAATCCAAGCGACGAAAGAATTTTTTTTAAAAAAGGGGCGATCTAGCCTATTCACGGGTGAAACCTTAATAACAACCCAAAAACAAAACCCATTTCTTACTTCTTAAAATTTTGGATCAAAAACGCAAATTTTTTTTTTTTCATTTTTTCTCCTTCTCTTTTCCTGTTTCTTCTTCTTCTTTCTTTTTTCTTTCTTTTTTCTTTCCTCTCCTTCTTCTTCTCTTCGGTTGATTGCCCCTCTCAATGGACGAACCAGTTATGGTCCATCCCTCCTTCTTTTCCTCTCCTCTTTCTTTCTCTTTCCCTTTCTCCCTTTCTTCTCTCTTTCTCTCTTTTGCTCGAATCTCCATGATGAACAAAACAAGAATCTTCTTTCTTCTCTCTCAATCTTTCCTTCCCTCTCACTCTATTAACCCCTCTCTTCAAGTGAGAACAAAAGCTCAAAAATGATACCACCCCGTGACGGCCCGACGTCGGTCCACCGACTATTGTCGAATAGGAGTGGCTAGGTGAGGAGCGCGTCACGCTCACATGATCTAATCCCGACTTAAACTCAAAAATAAATAATATTATACATATTAAAACGTATAAAATAAAATTTACATAACATCGGTGAATACAACTACGAAAAATTTCATAGTATTTAAAGATGCCATTTAACTACCTACGAACATCGAAACCACTTAAAATACAAACAAAATAGATTTCGTTATTTTCCCATGTCACACATGAGCCCTTTTTTGGGAGGAACCAGCGGCATCGTCAATCGAACTATTGTTGTCCTTTCTTGCTAAAAAAGAATGCAACAAAATAGAATGAGCCAAAGCTTAGTAAGTAGGGTGATACACGTGATATACAATATTACCAAACTTCCTCATTTTTCTTATCACATTTTAATTTCGGATACCACGGGTATTAGCAAGTCTCGTTTTATTCTCGATGACTGCTGAATAGCCTCGACAATCACCTATTGTCGAATAACCTTAACAATCATTCACTGCCGAATAACCTTAGTATTCATTCATTGATGAATAACCTCGGCATTCAATCATTCGTTGAATAAACTCGGCATTCATTTACTTTCATTCCTCGGTGGTTTCGAATAACCTCGGCAATCATTCACTACCGAATAACCTCGGCATTCATTTATCGTCGAATAACCTCGGCATTCAACATTGTCGAATAACCTCGGCATTTATTTACTTTCATTCCTCGGTGGTTGCCGAATAACCTCGAGCAATCACCTACTGCTAGCAACGAGATTATCCCTCGTTGTAGCCTTGGTGGTGGAATTATCCATAGTAATCATGCACATTTAATTCGGTTTGGTTACCAAACTTCATCTATCTCAATTTAATCATTTTTCTTAGTTCAATCCACCCCCAAATGCATATGATGCACATGATGCTCATTCATTACATTAAATCAATCATGGATAGTATACCTTACACTTTCATTTCTTCAATCCACACGAGATTTCATAATCTAACCCACATAGGGTTTTGGGCATACTCATACCCCTTATCATCATGTTTCCCTTGTTAGAATGAAATACCGACAAATGGTATTGGTTGAGTCATGAGTTTAATTATGCATGCAAATACTTCCCTTTTCTTTCCTTTAAGCTAATCGTTAAATCATGGCGCACTTGAATTGCATAATTAATAATATTTCAATCAAGTTTTCATTATATTAAAGTATACTTTTCTACTTTCATTTTCTATCTATTTGAGCTTAATTAACCATTTATTACATTAGCTTGGTGAAAGAAATGGAAACCGAGCAAGTATGGAACAAAAATGGTGACTTTTAAGTGATTAGTGAATTACACGGGAAGGAACACACCCTTGTGAGAGGTCGTGTAACTCTCTGATCGAAACAAAACACATTTCTTCACTACATGAGAAAAGAAACACCCATGTGGGAGGCCGTATAACTCTCTACCTCGAAGAAAAACACATTTCTTCATTACACGGGCAAGGACACACCCGTATGGGAGGTCGTGTAATTCTATGACTCGAAGAAAACATATTTCTTCACTACACGGGCAAAGACACACCTATGTGGGAGGCCGTGTAAAGCTCTACCTCGAAGAAAAACATATTTCTTCATTACACGGGCAAGGACACACCCGTGTGGGAGGCCGTGTAACTCTTTGACTTCAAGAAAAATGCATTTCTTCATTATACGGGCAAGGACACACCCGTGTGGGAGGTCGTGTAACTCTCGACTTCAAGAAAAACACATTTCTTCATTACATGGGCAAGGACACACCTGTATGGGAGGCCGTGTAACTCTCGACTTCAAGAAAAAAACATTTCTTCATTACACGAGCAAGGACACACCCGTGTGGGAGGCCGTGTAACGTTCGCCTGAAATGTTATTCACGAAAACCCTAAAATTTCATTTTTCTTTCCTTCCTACTTCATGTTTATTCAAGTCCATAAAAGTTCCACTTTCACCCACCATGTTTAGGTCAACCAAATCCATTAGCTACACTCATCCATATATGAATTTAACTAAATACCAACTTCCCACACTTAGCAAATAATCACACAACTAATCATCACCATTAGACCATAGTAACTACCAATCA